TTAATATACAAAAATGACGATCTAAATACGAATGAAATTAAAACAAATTTATACGGCAGGTACGGAGTGAATAGTTTACAAGTAGGTACACAAATATGTTGCCTAACCACAGACTACAGCCAAAGGACTGCCATTATTAGTATTATTATTGCTCTTCTCTCGAGTTTTCATCAACATTTCGAAACAGTCGCAATAACTAGGAACGTCGTCTTAATGCTCATAATTCAGTTTCTTTCACATCAAATTTGAGGAAATGTCTTTCACAATATTCAAGAGATATAGCGAAAACGCTAAACTCAGTTTGTAGACTGCGCGCGTCAATTGTTTGTAACATATATGCCATAGTGCTCGGAGATTTTTTTTAACTTTTTTAGATGGCATGCGAGACGGTTTCGTATGGTTTTAAATAATAGCCGCCACCCAGAGACATCTTTAATATCTTCAAGGTTCAACGCTTTACCAACCTTTAGATGCGTCCCGGTTACCTTTATTGTTTATTCTTTTATGTTCATTCCACAATGTACCTTAGGTTGTAAAAACTTATTATTAACGACCGGTACTGAAACACTCATCATCGTAGAAGTCAACTAATCAGCTGTCAAATGGCTTTTCAAATGTTATTTAAAAAGTTTTCAAAAGGATGGTTAAACTCTCTGAATTGATCAGAATGATCTTCTAAATGATCAGAATGAATATCTTACCATAATACACGCCGCGCGCCGGTCTTCTAAGGCTGTGATACTTCTAATTACTAGCCTGCCATTCGTGAACCTCAATTACTGTTGCCTCTTCAGACAACTGTCTGACTTTGCGTATGAAAAAAAATTAAAATGAAATTAAGCATCAATCGAAAACATGCATAATTTTGTAAGCATAACTATGCTTACAAAATTATGTATACTATCAGAGTTCTGATACTTATATTATTATCCTATACGCTACATTGCTTTTCGGATTCTAGTTACTAGCAGTTCCTTTTTATAGTTGGGTTAACTCACACGAAAATCACACAATTACTAAAATTTATAAAAATGTACGAAAAGTTTTTCGCCACTGCCAAAATTCGATTACGAAGTTTACCATCCTTTATTTTACAAAATGAGATCCCAGCCATCGATACTGCATAGATCGGGGCCAAAACAAATAATTAAAAAATTCGACGGCACCCGAACTAACTAAGACAGTGGGGCATCAAATTACTCATCCCAGCCCGTGACCTGGATGCGTACAAGAAAATATTACTCGTTACTTCATAGTTAAAATTTCGACCTCTTTTCTTCACTGTATTGTATGTAGCAAATAATGTATTACGTTAACAGATAAATTATTCACGACATTTAATATTATGTAGACGTAAGCAAACGTGATGATAGTCTACTTAAAAGTTAAATTAATTCCGTGGACAAACACACGATTAATTTCATCGATGTCACAAATCAATCGCGACAACGCTTGATAAGTATTCTTGGGGCCATTTTAAACGACGCCTAAACTTGAATCCGAAGCGACTTTGCGACGAGTAATTAATACAAATAGGTTTTCCAACATTGCGCAACCTTAAGGATATTTCCTTTTATTTTTGTTGGTTAAAATTGCGTCAAGTAAAAAAATTATAACAGTGTAACTTTGCCGAGAAAGCTGTGCTCATTTGGTGCTATAAAAAGAAATGCCTTATAATTTATTTAGGATTTTTTGCCACATTAAGTAACTTACTAACTTTCCGAGAAGTATTCAATCGCTTCGCAATAAAATGATCGAAGGTGTCCTCGAAAGAGATTTATTGATAGATGCGACACAAACCCAATACAATCTATTCTTTTTTACCCAATAACCGGCCAGTGCTTGACTACTCAACTGATGGTAAGTAAAGATTTAATCTTAGATTACCATCTAGCATAGTACCACGACTTCATTTACCAATGCAGTAGTTACCAGTACTCGCCTTGAAGAACTTACATTATAAACATCGATAGGCTAGCTATTCTGTGCCTGCGCTTGAGGTGGCAGATTGGTTCTTACCAATAAATCCCACTTTTCACCGAGTCTAGAGCAGATGGGAGGTACTTTGTAGTAAAAGCCCAAATATGGCAGCTGTCATTCACGTTAACTAACTGCTATCTGGGTAGGAAAGACCTTATTAAACATACCTCTGCTGATAAGATTACTACTTGCCCGTACACCCTACTATTGAATAAATATTACTTCGACCGTTTCTAATAAAACTGCAATAGCATAAATGAGTATTTATGGGTACAAACACTGGTTAATTTAACTCTTAGCAAAAGGATATTGTCTGCCTGGAAATAACGTTACTATTACTCGTACCATATCTTATAAATGTTATTTCGGTCGGTTCCAAAAAATATTAATAACTTAAATGCAATTTGCAGTTTAAATTAAATTACGTACACCTCTTTGAATTAAAGCATTGAAAATGTCTTCTAACATTTTATGGCGACCCTAAACGCGGATGACATAATTGGATCCCTCGATAGGTTTCGCAATATATTACGCCATTAGAAAGCCGAGGCCGTCCACGTAGGTTCCTGTTGGCATACCTTAAAAAGTTCGAGAAATAACGCGGTTAAAATTCCCGCCACGGCCCTGCGTGTGAAGAATCCAAGCATTAATATCGTTCGGAAATCGCAAGACAGAAGTAGGTCAAACGTGCGTCGACGATCAAAAAGCGACGATCTGGTTCCCTTCCTTAATTATTCCAGGACATTGAAACATTTTCAACTAGCTTTGTACATTAAGATAATAGTGCCCTAAAATGGATTTATTTGGTCAGTCATGTTATCATTTTCATTATTGGGAGATGTTCCATTATTTGCTATACTACAGAAACCAAGGATCTTTCTTTGGCTTCGATCTTTAATCTTTCGAAACATATTCATATTAAGGCCTACTTCTGAAAGAAAGTCATGTACTGTTAGAGATGGTTGACCGTTTTCTGTTTATTTATTATATTGACCTCAAGAACAGCCTCAAAGGATTAAGAAATGTGAAAATTAATCTAGCGACAGTCAGCAGAAAACTTCTCGCTGAAAATAAATGCCATCGTCGCCCGGCCCGCAGACCTAAATTGATTTGCTACGCTCAGCTTCGCTCAAAATAATGTGTAACAAACTCAAGAAAACTGGGATAAGATCTGTTCTCCCGTGAAGCCAAGTTTCGCTACGAATACGTTAGCGAACCCAACGATTACGAAGATTACGCTTTGTCCAGGCATGTTTTGAACTAATCGCACTTATGATAGAAGTTATGTTATGTTTTGGGCAGGAATACATTTATTGGATGGTATGGAGTTAGCCCAAGGTGACACTGAAAGTTTTTAGAACTGGCCAGCAAATAAAAACTTTTTTTAATTTTGAATATAGATCTCTTCGCTTACTTAATATTGCATTCATTTATTATTTGTCTTTGTGAATTGGCGGCTATTCCAAACTAACGACTTCGATTTGCATTTAATAATGAAGCCCCATCCCGTGCTGTTTAAGAAATTTAAGCTTGGACGTATCAAAATCAGTGATGATATGCGTGGGGAACGTCCTTCAACAGCGACATCTGAAGATAATCAAATCAGTGCTGTGCGATGCATGATAGAGGAAATTAAGTCTGTCAGTATGAGTCAAGTACAAAAAATGTTACATAACTATTTAAGCGTCAGGAAGTTTTGTACCGGATGGATTCCCCATACTTTGAGCGAAGACCAGCAACACCTTTGCATGGATTGGTGTCGCAAAATATTAAAGTTCAACGGAAGTGACTCTAATGCTGTAAATGACATCGCCATAGCTCACTCACAATCTTTTTTCCTTTTGAGGTCAGCCAACTAAAGTAAATGAAGGAATAAGGCAAGGAATAAAGAATATTTCCTCGATCTTTGGTCGGAAAGGTCATTTCGCGACAGTTGTTTTGTAAAAGTCATTTGCTGGAAAATGGAATGACAATTACTGAAGACAGCTATGTTAACTGTTGTCTTGGAAAATATTCGACAGCAGCTTCCCCGAAGCAGAATCCTCCTTCACCACAACAACGTAAAAGCGCGAAACGCACAATTGCATATATGACTATATCAGGTGTCGAGATAATGAGTCATCCGCTATATAGTCCCGATTGCGCCTGAAACTTTCATTTATTCCCATGAATCAAAAATAAACTTTGACTGAAGTGTGTTCGAAGAGGCCCCTAAGGAAGAATGGGCCCACAACTTTTCACAGTGGTCCCATACAAATGCGAAGATGCATGGAGAGGAAGGGAGACTACTTCGATTAACAATAAAAGTGTTGGTAACTTTCTACATTGAACCCTTTTATGATTTTCTTTAAATTTTCAGTGTGACCTACGTATTCATTGAAAACAGCACAATGACTGGACACCGATATATAACGGAAGTTTAAATTTCTTATGCACTACCTGCATTGGTGGCTCTTGGCGAAAATGTAAATTTTTATAAATTATAACGCTCGCGCCCTCTATCATCTAACCTTCATTTCCAGATTTCTAACCACTCGGTTAGAAATTTGGAAATGAAGGTTAGATTGGCCAGCTAAGTCTCGACCTCAGTTCTATAGGGCATGCCTAGGCCGTTCAGAAACAACAAGTGAGATCAGTGAAGTCGGCCGCAGCCGTAAGTAAGATGTCTTTGCTATCTTGGCCAGACGAATACGTCTCGTCGGCGTGCACCAGTGACATTTTTTATCCTAAATCCACAGGCCTTATTTCCGTTAACTGCTTCCAATGAAGCTGTCAAAACAGCTGGGCTAACAGCAAAGTACAAAAAACACTGGAATATTTTTTAATTATATTCTACGAATTGGTAACATAAGAATTGTGTATGGCAGCTTATCCTTTGACAGCTGATGTCTCGTTGACAATTTATCAGTCTGCTGTCTGACTCACTCATTTACATTTGCATTTTGTTATTATTCTTGAACTGAAATTGTATCTTTCTATTCTTAAATCTAAATCAAGTCTATTAGACAGTTGCTTTAATCATGGCTTATTTAACCCAGCCCGATTATGTTAAATATGTTTGCTCTTGCGGCCAGCTCAAACCCATTACGAGCCTGTATTTTTGTCGACACTGCTTACAAATACGATGCGGCTTTTGCATTTGTCATGAGGTAAGAGTGAACAGAGTTTATAAGGAATATTTTTTTATTGAAAGTATTATAAATTACTCGTTAACACAATTGCTAAGCTTTTGGCTTCAGCGCCGGGGGTCGTACGTTTGATCCCAATATTTGTGGCCATGGGTTTGGTTCGTGTTGTTGTGACTCCACACATAATTGTTCCGTACTAAAGATATCACTTTATATCACAATAACATTAACATAATGGTATTTCAAAATATGTCAACTATTATAAATAATGTTTTCAATCTTAGTTTAAGAAATAATGTAGGTATATAATCTGGGTACAATAAATCTACAATCAATCTTAGTTGTTTGTAAAATGAAAAGAAAATTGTTATCAAATACTTGGCTCAAAGAATTTTTGAATGCATATGTCTTTGCTTGTTAATCATTGTTTTTATGTGAATGTTACTTTTGGAATATAATATTTATAATATAAAAATATTATATAATATTTGTTAAATATAACTATTTCAACATTCACAAATTTTCCTATTTATAATGCATATTCTGTAGTAAAATTTTTATAAGCCTAAATAAGTTGAATCAACCTCTTAGGTGGACTCACATTATTGTGCCAACTGCTTGGAGAACATGCCATCTTCAGAAGCAAGACTCAAAAAGAACCGCTGCAGCAGTTGCTTTGACTGTCCAAGCTGCTTTCACACACTTTCAACAAGGTAATGGTTTAATATTTCCTTGTAATACCTCTTCTTATTAAAACAAAATCAAAGAAAATAAGTTTGTACACATTTAGTTGTGATTTTCACAATTTCATCTGTGATTGTTAATCAGACAATCATCCCCATTAATTCAAACCTGAAAACATTACAATGCTTGTAAAAACCTATAATTTTTTTTATGGAAAATGAATTTACGTTAAGCTTTTTAAATAAGCATTATAGTACTATGAAACTTTTTAATATAAAACAATATAAAACATTTTGACCATACAAATATGTACTAAATGAATGTTAATACTTTTGTAATATATTTTCAATGCACATAGGGCTACACTAGCGCAACCACGACAATCTGTCGAACAGGGATCTGGTGATACGAAGGTTGAGAACAAGCAACCTAAGAAGATGTATTATCTGTCCTGTTTCAATTGTCGCTGGACTTCTAGAGATGTTGGTATACCAGACCAACCTGTGGGTAATTGTCTTTGCTTTTAAATTGTTTTTTTTTTTTAATTAATTTTAAATGGAAGGTGTTATTATTTAAAACTTCCTAACACAACAGGATAATGTTAGACTACACTAAAGGGGCAATGTTTTTGAAGACAAGACTATAATAGAACTTTCTAGGTAGCAGTGGTCATGTGGACTCACTACGCACACATAATACAAATACAGAATTCACTGTGATTAGAACTGAAGTCTTCACATACCTACTTTGAATTTTTTTTTTATTTTAATTTCGAAAATATTGTTTTCCTTCAATGTTGAGCATGTAACAGGAGCACTTAAAATTGCAAGTAATAATTCCAGTGATACCAATTAAACCAATTATATTGTATATTGAATGAAAAGGGAGTGCTCAGACACTGAGTAAATAAATACTTCATTAATTTTGTTTCTGCTTAATGCGATGGACACAATTTGAAGGCTGTAAACTTGTAATGTGTGTACATTGGACATTTATTTGTCTTTAGTGTTTAAGCATTTGATCTTATATGTATAACATATAATGCACTTTTTAGTCTAAAAGCTTTTGTATACGGAATATTAGCTTTATTCATTTATACAAAAATATTTATGTTTTATTATTTTTGCAGCATCTGGTGGATGGCCAGAGAGAGTTAACCCTCATGCAGCTCGAGTTAATCAATTACTAGATTATTACAAGGCAATAGCGCAGCAAGAGAAGCAGGAGAAATTGGATAGAGAAAGGAAGAAATATGCTATTAGAGGAAAATATCTCACTCTTACAGTTAGTATTTACAGTTTTTTTACAAGTGATAACTTGGTGGGAGCTATCCCAAAAAATTAAAATTAATGGTCCTGATTCTTCTGATGCGCTTCTTGATTATTCTATAATTATTATTGACACATTAAAACAATAAACTGATGTAATCGTGAACCTTGTTAAAAGGGAAATAATTATTTTAGATTCATTAAAAAATACCCAAATACAATAGAAGACATCATATAAAATTTTTATGAATATGTAACAATATTTCTTAATTTTAATCATTATTGTTATACTTTAATGCTTAAAAAAATATTAAACGCATGAAGTAATAATTATAAATCTACATTTCCCGTTCGAGTTATCGTAGTAAAACGATTCTGTAAATTTTTTCTGCGCTGCAAAGGACACAACAATAGATGCGTCTAGCACCGCTTAAAATGCTAAAAAGCAATGAAGATAAAACACGTAGAGATTTTCATCGGTGTCGCATTTAGTCGTTTAGCTTAGTGGTTAAGTCTGGGCTCGAACGCGGAAGACCTAGGTTCGGTACCCGCATAAGCGCCAAAAAAAGTCAATTTTTTCTCCATATTTTTATATTTCAGATGAGATCAATAGACGGAAAAAAAATTCAAAAATTCCCAGTCAAATTCACAACCTCTTTAATTTTTGCAAAATAGTCTATAACTTCACTCAAATCCAAGTTTGATGCCACCTTTCTATTGCAATTAATGTTAAATATCGTTGGCGATCTTATCCAATGATGTTTCTTAAATATTTCGTCATATTCTTCAGGCTACTGAAAGATTTTTCCGCTATGTCGGAAAATTATATGGAATTGTGTGAAATAGTATCATTTCCGTAAGGTGATATTCAAGCATGCCAAACACAAAAAAGTTATATTAGGTTTGTCATATTAACACCTTGGCCCGTAGGACAAGACGGGTTTGACGGGTGCCATGGCTCGAAACCTCGCCGGACTCCCTTCCAGCGAGAGTTCCTCGTCAGCCATCGCGAGCTTCACGCCCAGCCAGGCCTCAGCCGAGGTGGAGCAGTTGCCGGAAGAGTTCTACACCAAGGAGTTGAATTTGAACCAAAGTAACAAGATTTCACTTATGCACATTTACACATTTACTGAAAGGGAAAGGAAAAATGTTTAATACTTCCCTTTGCCTTTTGTATTCATAAGAAATCATTAACAAGTCAAACATATGAATATTAAAGTCTTACATTTATAATTTTTTCTTTTGCTTTTATATATTGTATTGTTGAGGTATTTCAAACGCTAATTGCTTAACTAGAAAATTACTTGAACTGACCAATTCCTAATAAAATAAAGCAACTTATATAATAGTACTCTATTTATGGATAATTTTAACACACAAAAACAAACTTTTCTTTGTCAGTATTGGTCGTCATGTTCGAGCCGTTGGTCGGTGGGAACTGGTGTTAGAAAAATCCTTGGGACAGGCCAATTCTTGATAAAATAAAGCAACTTGTAAAATAGTACCCAGTTTATGGTTAATTAACACACACACACACACACAAAAAGTTTTCGCAGTCAGTAAGTTCGTTAGGCTATCCGTCACGCTTCATTAGTAACTGGTCTGTCATAAGAGGAGGTCGCTTGTCGATAGTGACGAGCGCGGTTCAAGCTGTCGTTGGGAACCGGTCTATGTAAGAGGGGGTCGCGTTAAGGTCGTCGCTTGTCGGCAGTGACGAGCGCGGTTCAAGCTGTCGTTGGGAACCGGTCTATGTAAGAGGGGCTCGCGTTAAGGTCGTCGCTTGTCGGCAGTGACGAGCGCGGTTCAAGCTGTCGTTGGGAACCGGTCTATGTAAGAGGGGCTCGCGTTAAGGTCGTCGCTTGTCGGCAGTGACGAGCGCGGTTCAAGCTGTCGTTGGGAACCGGTCTATGTAAGAGGGGCTCGCGTTAAGGTCGTCGCTTGTCGGCAGTGACGAGCGCGGTTCAAGCTGTCGTTGGGAACCGGTCTATGTAAGAGGGGGTCGCGTTAAGCTCGTCGCTTGTCGGCAGTGACGAGCGCGGTTCAAGCTGTCGTTGGGAACCGGTCTATGTAAGAGGGGGTCGCGTTAAGCTCGTCGCTTGTCGGCAGTGACGAGCGCGGTTCAAGCTGTCGTTGGGAACCGGTCTATGTAAGAGGGGGTCGCGTTAAGCTCGTCGCTTGTCGGCAGTGACGAGCGCGGTTCAAGCTGTCGTTGGGAACCGGTCTATGTAAGAGGGGCTCGCGTTAAGCTCGTCGCTTGTCGGCAGTGACGAGCGCGGTTCAAGCTGTCGTTGGGAACCGGTCTATGTAAGAGGGGGTCGCGTTAAGCTCGTCGCTTGTCGGCAGTGACGAGCGCGGTTCAAGCTGTCGTTGGGAACCGGTCTATGTAAGAGGGGCTCGCGTTAAGCTCGTCGCTTGTCGGCAGTGACGAGCGCGGTTCAAGCTGTCGTTGGGAACCGGTCTATGTAAGAGGGGGTCGCGTTAAGCTCGTCGCTTGTCGGCAGTGACGAGCGCGGTACAAGCTGTCGTTGGGAACCGGTCTATGTAAGAGGGGCTCGCGTTAAGCTCGTCGCTTGTCGGCAGTGACGAGCATGTCGCAGCGGCTGGCGTCGCCCGAGTGGCAGCCGAGCAGCGTGTCGCGGCTGCACCCGATCGCGAAGCTGCTGAGCGTGAAGCGCAGCCAGCGCTGCCGCGCCTGCGACCACAACCTCACCAAGCCCGAGTACAACCCGGGCTCCATCAAGTTCAAGATCGAGCTGCTGGCCTAGTGAGTTTCCACTGCCATCCATCCACACTCCCGCTTGATATCGACTACATGAGGAAGTTGCTTGATGCAGAGCAAACGTGTTTGTAAAAAAAAGTTTTATACATATTTTTTAAGCGAGAGAGCCAGCAGTTCACCTAAAGTTTAATCATAACTGCCACCCAAGGACATAACAGAGTACCCTTACGGCCCGTTTCTGAAACACTGATCCTTCAAAAAACAACCATCCTTTTGGCAACTAAAATGAAATTTGAAAAGCCTTTTGACGGCTGATTAGTTGACATCTACGATGTTCAGTGTTTCAGAAACCGGGCGTTAAAGTTGCAGATGCATTTCCGCCTAATAATAAAGTTGGCCTCGGCTACCTCACGACGAATCGCAGAAGTATAATACTTCCACTTCACGGTCAACATATATTTTGCTTGCGAAGTAAGCCCACTAAGAACCAAATAAAGCAGCAAATGCACCTGCCCAGTCAAACCCTGTTCCCTCTCAGCTTGAAGGGACTCAAATTCTTGTTTCCGTTTAGCTATCACGTGCCAGAGGTCAAGATAATATCGTACGAGCCAGTCAAGCCAGGCAGCACGTCGGCCTTACTGCTGAAGCTGACGAATCCAACGGGCCACGAGATGCAGATACGTTTGCTGCAGCCCGAGGACGTTCCCGAGCCCGAGGAAAAGGTGGAGGAACCCAAGAGCATAGAAAAGTCGCTGGAGAAGTCGCTCAACTTGGAGAAGGTAGGAACTGGTTCATGCAAGGATTTTTTTCTTTTAAACTTCTTGTAAATCAAGAAGTTTAGTTATTAATAATTATTTATATTCAAAATAACCACAGTGAGTACTTAATACTTTAACATTCAATATTGCAAGTAACAATTTAACAATTTGTACTGGGGTTTTGAAATCAGGCTGCTTGAGTATAACAAATTTAAAGCAACCGGCTGGACACGGAGCTAATATTTGATCTATTGGTTAATTACTCAAAAACATTCTTCATTCTTTCTTCTTGTTTATTTCATTTTAGACTTACGGTTGATAATAATCAGCTTTGCTATAGTAGTCCTCTACTTTATGTGTTAAATATAATTTGATGACAAACCCAATTTTCAAAAGGTTGTCAACGCATCTGTAACCCTCGGGTGTAGCAGATGTCCATGGGCGGCGGTATTCACTTAACATCAGGTGAACCGTCTGCTTGTTTGGAAACTTTTCGCATAAAATAAAAATAAAATAAATAAAGTGACATATGTAATCACTGTATCACTTCATACTTACTTCGCATGTCAGTCCAGTTTAGATTTGGACGGTGGTCACCACCCGGGGGTGACCATAGTGAACGGCCGCGTTTCGCAGGACAACTCGTGGCAGGAGACGGTGCGCAGAAGACCGTCGTTGGGCGGCTGGTGCCGCGTGGCCACGCCGGATTTGACGCTGACCTTGGCGCAGCGCGACGACGCCGCTGAGTACGACGACGACGCCGCTCACGACGCCAGCGAGTGAGTGGCCGCCATTTTTAATAATAATATATATATTTGCGAAATGTAGGTTAGGCATAAGGTGTTTCAGTAATTTTTATCGCTATATTCTACCCATTTTGTAGGGTGTGCAAATGTGATATGTTCGCTAAAACGTTGTCAGTATACATGCTAAAATCTCTTAATTATTATAATCACTAAGCAATATTGAAAAAATTATGTAATAGAATATTAAAATAATAATAAAACTTATGTCTATGTAAAAGTAAAATAACAAACATTAACAATAGAAAAGAAAACAAAATGACAAATAATTAAATGACAAAAAAGTAAAATTTTTGATAAAATTGCACATTTCAGTTTTGATTTTATTTTTAATTGCACATTTTAGGGTTCCGTACCCAAAGGGTAAAACAGTATTACTAAGACTCCACTGTATGTCTGTCTGTCCGTCTGTCACCAGTCTGTATCTCATGCACCGAGATAGTTAGACAGTTGAAATTTTCTTCAGTAATTTCGCGAAATTCACAGATGATGTTGTTGTAGCGGCAACAGAAATCTGTTGCTTGCAACATGGCTGTTAGCTGGTTATTATTTGCATTTAAAATACTAATATTTTTTATAAATGTCTGCAATTTTCTCAGACACTAGTTTACAACAATACAAACATTGATTAATATAGTTTGCACAGAAATATAAAATAGTTTATAACAGTATACTTTATACAAAACACTGTATGTTAAGCTCACAGTTACTGGCTGACGGTGTCAACCTCTCGGATAATGGCTTCCTGTTGCACACCTCCGTTTCTTTTTCACGAAATCGCTCCTAAAGCCAAAATTCCAAAAGACAATCCCAAAGCGAGGAGACAGAGTTTAGGTTTACTATTAACTCGGACGGAAAACATCTAACCATGAATAGATTTATAATGCCATTTTAATCTCTTTGATATAATGAGGAAAAATTCACTGCAGTTGAACCTCGAACAGCGAACAACGCACACGCGTATAACTTCTCTCTACGACCCTGATGGCTTGATAACGATTGAATCCCGCAGCATAATCCTGTGGCGCAAGTCGAACAAGTTGGCGCTGCGGCTGCGCGTGTCGGCGGAGGGGGGCGCCGCGCCCGGGGCTCCTGCGCTGCTGCCGCTGGCGCTGCAGTACCGCTACCGCAACACCGTGCCGCCTGCCGCGCAGCCGCCGCGCGACCACACGCTGCACGCCACGCTGCAGCTGCACCTCGGCGAAATCTGCGGCTAGTTCAGCTCGCTGCACCCCCGCGCCATCTGCGGCTAGCCAGCAACTTGCACCTCCGCGCCCTCTGCGGCTAGCGGCAGCTTGCACTTCTGCGCCCTCTGCGGCTAGTCTACAACTCGCTGCACCTCGGCGCTTGCGTCCCTTCTGCTCCTCAGCGCTCTCTGCGGCTCAACTGTACCCGCGTCGGTTGTTGTTCCACTATGTGATCACTAGCTGGTTCTGCTAGCCTGTCGCCCCGTGTGATCAACCTGCAGCCGCGACGGGAAACACTGTCTGTGGCTAACCTATATCCGCACCTCGTTCTACCAGCCTGCGGCTGCCAAACTTCCCCTTACCAACGTGTAGCTGCGGTGGTATAGCGTCACCCCGTGTATAGACTGCAGTTGGTGCTATTTCTACGCATGTAGATATTCGTATAGTATAAACGCCTCGTTATTGTACTAGGCTGCAGATGAACAGCGCAGACGCCGTGAATGCCATGGTTTATCATTTAACATCAGATAAATAGATTTGTTGCTCGCATAAAAAAGTATGTCAGTATGGGTCTGAATCACTTTCGGATGTGGCAAACCTATGGCGCCTCCAGCAACGTCTACATATACACCAAGCTGGTCACTGCTGTTATAATTTAACCACAGTTTCAATGAATAGGAAATAACTACTTTGTTCTCTCTATGTTCCGCCACAGCGCAAAGGTTATGGTAGCAAATAACTGATAATCTCCCTGTTATTATTAAAAGGAAATAGATAAATACATCTCTAATAGCACAATATATTTTAATATAAATTAACATTTGTAGTGATACATGTTTTAAATTGGTAACTCCACAATTTGGTAATTAAGTAATAAGCTACATCAGATATAAATTTTTACAAAATTAATGGATTACGCTTATCTTATTGCTTATTAGTATATTAAAGGATTAATACTTTACAATTTTACACAAACAGCAAATATAAGGCAGCTTTATTAGTTTTCTTGAAGCATGTGGTTGTCTTTCATTTTGAATTCTTGAATAAACAACCATTTTTCTTGAGTTTCTCTCCCTTCTATAGAAATTATGAAATTCCACTCATGTTATTGAGCTCGAGATTTAGTATTACTAAATTATTTATTTAATTTTAGCCATATAACCTATATTTAGTATAAGGTTAAATTCTCACTCTATGCTTAAGCATGAATACAGGTTGTTTTATAACTCGTGTGTTGTTTTATTTACCCTTTCACTCTCTCTTTGTTTTCAAAAACATTATTCAAATTACTTTATAATTACTAAAAAAGCTAGTAAATTAAGTAAAAATGATAAACATTTAAGCTTAGTACATTAATTATTTTGTTCCTTTTTTGTTATTTAAATTATTATTTTATTCATAGCTTCATTTCATAGCTTCATTAGTATGTTACCAAATTAGGCTTATATCACCCTAATTTAAAACACTACAAGAATACTTAGGCTCCATTTTGGTGAAATTAATAATTTATTTTTTGCAATCTCCATTATTCAAATTACTTTATAATTACTAAAAAAGCTAGTAAATTAAGTAAAAATGATAAACATTTAAGCTTAGTACATTAATTATTTTGTTCCTTTTTTGTTATTTAAATTATTAATTTATTCATAGCTTCATTAGTATGTTACCAAATTAGGCTTATATCACCCTAATTTAAAACACTACAAGAATACTTAGGCTCCATTTTGGTGAAATTAATAATTTATTTTTTGCAATCTCCATCTTTAAAAAGTGATAACAATGGAAAAAGGAAAAAACAGTTACAAATATAGTAAATCTTTATTTGCTAAGCCCAAAATATGTTAAGAACTAAAAGTTTAAAGGATAGTTTGAATTTCTTTTGAGTATTTAAGAATTTTATAACTAACAAAATTTAAAACAAAGCATTTAACAGTTGTAAAGTTATAAGAAAATTATTTGAAAGTAATAACAAACAATTTTAAATAATATATAATACTTCATAAGTTCAAAAATTCAATAATCTACCAATTCCTTTTAACATATATACTCCACGTAACCACTTAAAACATTTGAAACTATAACATTTGAAAGTAAATTACCCAAGAAGATAAAACGGCCTTTGATCCTTATTTTTTTATTAAACAGACAACAAAAGTGAATATAAAAATGTGTCCCATTCACAATAATCTCCATTAATTTGTACGGTTAAGCAGGCTATTATGCTTACACTACTTTTGAGTATAAATTTTCTATTATTAACTCCTCATGCACATAAGTGCTTTCACTGAACCTGCGTCTTGGCGGAATAGATAACATCATTTATTCCAACTCCATCATAACTGCTGCCAACAACTGATAAGGGAAGATTATGATCTTGAATGTACTGTCTGATCTTTTCTACTCTTTCATAGTGGCCTATAACATATTGGGGGATGCACTTATCTAAAATTTTAACATTATACGCAGTTGGTTCCTCATTTATGTTTAGAATAGTGCTTAGTTCTCGCTGGGCTATATCATACAACTTTTTCTCAGTCACATTATTGCCAAACTTTTCACTGAACCACCTCCCGCCCAACATTACAGTCAACACTGTGCCCTTCTGATCAGGTATACAGCATGAGTCAAAAACCACCCCTAGTATTGGAGAATTCTCTATGGGTGGCACCAAAAACCCAAATGCAGGAGAAATAAGTGATCTGTCCGTATTGAAGTAGAAGTTGACTATTCCCACTGTAACAAAGGGTATATCTTTGAGGCTGAGAGCTAATTCTGGATGTTGTGCTTCGACCAAATTAGCAAGTACATGAGATGGAATAGATGCATACACATGATTTGCCTTTATTTCCTCTCCATTTCTCTTAATTAATTTCACATTACCAGAGTTCATGAATTGTATCTTGTCCACTTTACTGTTTAATCTTACCTCTACATCGTTCTCTTTAATATATTGCAGAAGTGAGGCAGGAAAGTTATCTAGACCACCCTTTATTGAATACACATTCCATTTCTCCTCCTGAGCTCTTCTCGCTAATTCACTTAATTCAAAATTATTATCATTTGAAGCCTTAAAAAAAGACTTCACTAGACCTTTCATAACCCCTCCATAATTTTGCTCCCACTCAAATAATGTTCTCATGAGGAATTTAACAGATATTTCCTTTGCATCACCGGCACATATACCACATATCATTGGTGAAATAGCATAGTCCGCAATCTCCTTACCAAATCTCCTTTCGACGAAATTGTAAATGGAATCATCCTTTAACTGCTTATATGGATTTCGTAAGTCATTAAGCAATGCGAAGATAAGCGGTCTAGAAAAAGGTTTGTTCTTCTGGAAAACTCCCTTTAAACTGGACGGTAATAAATGCAATGAATTGTTTACGTAAATCATTCTGTTCTTAGCCGCTGGGTGATCAGATTTTATGGGAGAGACGTGTTCGCTGAGACCCAAATCTTGTATCATGTTTAATGTATTCAAACCAACTATTCCTTTAGGCCGGATCGTTCGCGGGCCCTGTTCGAAAATATAATCTTTCGTTTTGATCGACTTGATCCATCCTCCACAATAGTCTGTGGCTTCCAATAGCAGCAACTTTAGGTTATTGTTGTTAGTTATATTGTTTTTCAACAAATAATAAGCAGTAGATAAACCGCCTAATCCTCCACCAAGTATAGCTGCCATTATTTAAGAAACTTTTTTTTTAAAGAAATCAAAGTTAATTCATTTACGCCGTTCCTATAATTATTTTTACCTCATAACGTAAAATACTTTTCTTTTCTGTTTTCTATCACATATCTATTGTTTTGAAAATATTTGTCATTGACATTTGAACTTTTACGAAGATAGATAAAGATAACAAATCAGAAAAACTTACTTAGATTCTAGTTTTTTAGAACACTCATTATTACTAATGTTTTCAACTAAGGGAAGCGTGTTTTTTATTAATAGTTAAGGATAAAAGAGAAAGGATGTATAGAAGTTAAAAAGTAAATGTTGTAAAACTGGTCAGAGTCAAGTAAGCCATCTATGCTCAGAAATAGTGATCGGTAAAAAAATTTTAATTTATTTACAAAACATTCCTTTAACACTTTTTTGGCTATTTGTAAAAAGTCTTTAATCAGATTAACTGATACTTAAGAAAAATTCCTAAAAAAATAACCCCATATTATGGTTGAAATGCGAACTATATACCAAAAAATTGAAAAATACGTATTCACGTCATACCTACGACTGCTATCAGGGTTGTTTATTGGCATATCACTCGAACTTGCTATTCGGCGTTAGTTACTAACTGTTTAATGAAAATAATGTAAAAAGTTACTCCAAACTAAACGTTACTTTAAAGTTACATTTTACTTTTTTTATGTGAAAAAGTGGCAAACGTGCTGACGGTTCTCCCGATGTTAAGTGATAACCGCCTGCCCATGGACAATTGCAACACCCATAGGGTTGCAAATGCGTTGCCACTTCTTAATGAAGTGGGCCCCGGCTACCTCACTCACCAGAAGAAACGCAAAATTGTAACACTTCTACTTGACGCCGGTCTTCTGTGAGGTCACGACCGAACCACGTACCAAACCCGGACGGATCTGCCCATTCGTGGAACGGCAAACACTGTTGCGTGGCCCTACCACCAGATACCCTACTTTTAATATTATTGCAATAGAAAAATAATTTTATTTATTGCAATAATATCGTAGCACTAATGACTGTAGATATAAATAAAATATGATTTAAAATAGAAAATTATATGTTGTCACAATATTGCAAGTTCAATAAACTTTACGTAGATCATATATAAATCACCTTTACCTAGTTTGTTTAGTCCTTATCTTGTATCAACTCGTCTAATGATCATCTAAAATCTTTGCTGGTAAGCCAAAATTCGTAAAATTTACTATACAAAGCGCTATACTCTAAAATATTACTCATGTCATTTGATTTCAATGACTCAATTCTTTACGCACGTTATGATAGCATACAATACTGTTGTCTTCGCCTTGATTCGGTTTTGGAGCCCGTAGAAACTGTAGCCCCTCTACAGACTACGCGCGCACACATACACACATAGGGATACTCCATTATAGTTGCGTGTGAGTTGGACGATGACTTCCATTTAGGTTTTTGATATAGTACAGTTAACACACAATTGGAAACAAATAAGATACGTCGGAGTTATTCGTGCGGGCAGAGTTTGTCCGATTGAATTGAAATTATATAATATGTATTTAGATGCTGTTAATATTTGAGAGAAGATTTGCAATGCAACGCATGGGGTGGGAGTCTTTAGTCAATCCGTAAAAGTAACTAAATCCGATAGTATAAAACTTGAAACCTGCACGAGTCGGTGAGTGAACTAACTAGTTAAATGACTATCGATAGATGCGATGTATATTTCTTATTGCGATGAATAAATAATTTGATTTGATTTGTCAACATAGTTGCACACCCAAACAAATAGTTCGTCCTCATCTACGAGCAAGGCGAAACCACCACAACGCATATACAAAGTACATCTGATTTTCAGTGGGGTTCTCACCGTCACCAGCCACGATCATTACACTCAACGGCCATTGCATGTGTGTGGGCCCACATGTGGACCGAATGAGAAGGGCCGTATCAAGCTAGTATAATCTGGTTATACCATGAGCTCTGCGCTCGCAGACGCAATGTATAGCCTACGGACCTAAGGAAAAAACACCTACACGCAATTCATACTTTTAAAATTTTAGTTTAAATTTTTAATTTTAGTTGAACTTTATTGAGATACATCCTGTTAGTATGAATCATTGTCTCGAAAAAAAAAAGGAATATGTGTGAGAACACAAGGAAGTTTTATTTACATGTTTAATGAATGAGCTAAACAAAATCTCCAAAGACTGTATAATATACATTTAACATCCAATATTAACAGTATTAAATGAAGGATAATTCGAAACAATCAGTTTTTACATTTCAATTTTTACAAAACGCAAACTCGTAACTAATAAATATTAAAAGTAAATTGGTGAATGTCTAAGCACACGAATTGGGATAACAAGCGTGTAGAGCATTGGACCGTGTTTTAGGTGCCCAGCTGCTGTGTTGCGTCCTGATAATGAATTTCAATTTCATACCTATTTCACTCGCATCGAATCGCTATCTGTCACACGCCGAAGAGAACTACAAGAGTAGACACAATCCAGCGTAGTTTGCGGTACACTAATAATACTATACTAATAATTTTAATCTTTGAGACAATATTATAATAAAATGAAGTATATTCAACAAGTGACAAGATCCATTCGAGTATAGAGTTAACTCAACTCACTTTGCAATCTCCGCAATCACCAATATTTCTCACTATACTATTTTCACCTGTCATTATCCTACTGCACAGCGTGTGGATTATATTGTTTATTGATATCAGTTCCCTTGGGTATAAACGCCAAATTTTGGAGCAGTTATCAGAGGTTCGCACAAATACTTGTCCCAAATCCACGACCTCCGTCGGAAAGCCACCATCTAAGCAACTGCGCCAACGGGAATCGCTATGTGTGATACATCTGTTAGACTCATTCAATCAAATCAAATTCAGCGAGTCAAATTTTCATACGTTTTAATCCAACACTTTCATGTTATGTTTGTGTTTTTTTCTCAATATTGAATACATCTTATCGGTACAAAAATCAAATATAAAATGTAAAATATTGTATAACTTAATATCTTTTTCATTGTATTTTGATCGTACTATAATGGATAAAATTAAATATATAAAAAAATGAACGGCTCTTGTTGATTCAACGCGTATATAAACAGGCGTAAAAGTAGTAATCCTTTCATTCAGTCTTAGGACACCACAAAGCTACCAAGATGAGTCAAACCCATGCTAAAGTGTGCGATAAAAAACTTAAAACCGCGGAAATAAAACTTTCCAAGATACTTAGTAAAATAGAAAATGTTAAACTCAGCAATTTTTATATATCGCGTCTACGTTTGCCCGATTATAGAAAACGGGTGGATTCAAAAACTTCAAACCGCAATTTCAAATATTATTATGTCAGTATTGCCCCTTTCATTATTGCGTTAAGTGTTTGGTGGGTGTATTCAAAGTATGCTTCTGAGGTAAGGTATTACAGTTATTTATTTGATTTCGTTTTAGTTTTTAAGGTTTCTGCATTTATAAATGGCGAGCAGTAATTCATAAACAAAGTTTTTATAAAAATAAAGTAAAGTAACAGCCTATACATGTCCCACTGCTGGGCTAAGGCCTCTGTCAAGAGGGAATCAGGGCGTAGTGTACCACACGACCCCACTGCGGATTGGCGGACATAACATATTTTCGAAAATATTTTTTTTATTATTTTTCGAAAATATGCAGGTTTCCTCACGATGTTTTCCTTCACCACACATTAACAATTCATTGGTGCTGGCATTGGGGATCGAACTCAGGTTGCTCGAGTAAATGTAACTAAAGGCGCCCGGACACTCAGCTATCGCGGCTTACCAAGGCTTTTATACAAGCGGTAATTATATTTTTGTTTTAATATTGCCACGCAACAGCGTTTGCTGTTGCGCCAACGGGCAGGCGCATCAGGAAAAGACCGGCGTGATGTTGAAGTGTTATAATATGCTTCTGCGTTTCGTCTGGTAGGCCGCTAGTTCGCGTCCCACATTCTCACTTAACTCCATGTGCCTCGTATGCATTATCGCCACCAGAGGTGCGCTCTGGAGGTGCCGCCCACCTCCCTCACGCTGTTCCGGCCCCCCGAGGACTGTTCGATGTGCGTGGACGTGGACGATATACAGCGTCTCGCAAATATCACGCCAGAGGAGTTCGAGGAACTTTATGCATACGGCACAAAACCTGTCATCGTCACCGACGCCACCGCAAACTGGCTGGCCATGAAGGTATACGGTTAAATCGTTTACTTCAATGGCTCTTCACTCATTCTAGAAGTTCATTGAGTGGTTCATTATTCTGAAGTGGGCGGTACACCAAAAAAGTTTGAGGTTTTTCTCAAGTTGGTTTAGTTTATTTTTTATTCACATTTGCTTTTAAATTTTTATTTTATCTCTTTTATTCTTTTACTATACTCATATTTTTTGGTCGAACTCCGCATTATGATCATAATGTGTATCATTAAACATATTATATACAATTAAATTCCTTATTAATTCACTACATAGATAATAAAATAGGTTGGGGAAAAAGTTTCTTCGCATTTTATATGAAAATTTAAAATATTTTTCAATAAACTTTATTTACATTTAACTAAAGTATTTAGGTGCAATTTTGTTCGATACCTTTCTGCCATCTTGTAGGTAGGGGCGCGATCTCATTGTTATAGAAATTCTGGGGCTTCTGATCAAAAAACCGCGACCAGTGGTTTTGGCAGTCCTCTTGTAATGTTATCTTGACACTGCCTAAAGAATTCTGAAGAGACCGAAACTAGTGGAAATCTAAAGGTGCAAGGTCAGGACTATACGGCGGACGTATTAACACCTCCGAGCCAAACTCTCTTAATTTTTGCTGAGTGGCTAAAGGTGTGTGAGATCTAGCGTTATCATGATGATAAACCATACCCCTCCTGTTAATTAATTTCGGCCGATTTCTCTCACCTTCTTGCTTTAATCTCATCAGTTGTTAGCAGTAGAGTTCAGAATCAATGGTCCCGCCTGGCGGTAACAGCTCATTATGAATAATGCCCTTCCAATCCCACCATACAAACAACATTACCTTGTTGTAAGATAACCCGGGTTTCGCCAGAGTCTGTGAAGCCTGACCAGCCTTTGACCACGACCTTTTTCGCACGTTCTTGTCGTACGTGATCCACTTTTCATCCCCAGTTATCAGTTTTTAAAAAAATGTTTGGTTCGGTTTCATTACGTCGTAATAAATGATCACAAATGAGTACACGGTCCATTAGGTTTCTTTCAGTGAGCTCATGAGGCACCCAAATATCGAGCTTTTTTGTGTACCCAGTTTTTTTCAAATGCGTCAAAAGTGTTTTGTGGTCAATTGCCAGTTCTTCAGCTACTTCGTAACTACGGATATGCCGATCTTGCTCTACTTTTTCAAAAATGGCATCCATTTCACCACTAACAGGGCGCCCAGGGCGAGGTGCATTTTTGACATCAAAATTTCCGGATTGAAAATGCTTAAACCAAATTTGTACTACTCTCACAGACTGGCACTAGGTCCATGAACATCACCATTTTTTTTCGCGGCTTGCGTTGCATTTTTACCTTTTTGGTAGTAAAATTTCAAAATGTATCGAATTTCTTCATTAAAATCACTCATCTTAACAGTAAGAAAAACAAATGAAAATCACACATTTTCCTAATTTGAATTTGGAATTATCTTTTTTAAAATTTAAACTTTTTAATAACACAAAAACCAGCCACATAAAAATGGTATAGCCAAAGAGTTTATATTATAAGTTCATACATACTATTTGCGAAAAGACTTTTTCCCCAACCTAATATTACTCTCGCATAAGGATCGTTAGCGGTATAAGTTATGCAGTCGCGACACAGATATATCGCAGATGTAATGCGAACTTAAAGAATTTGGGGTTTTCGGTTATCGCAATGACAACACAAAACACGAGATACCACGGTATGCCATTCAGGCAACGGCCACTGCTGTTCTGGCTCTACCATACTAAGGAACTGTTTTACCTGCATTTTCCCCTTAAGCCTAGTGCTAGATAGCTAGATACACCAATCTTCTTACCGCCATAACCTTACAACATCGCACTTACGAAACGCGCGCTCCCAGGAGTTCAGTTTCGAGTTCTTCGCCGACTTCTACCGCGGCGGCGACATGGGGCGAAAGACCAACGAGTGCTTCTTCTTCGCGTACAAGTCCGGCTTGGGGTCGCTGCACGAGGTGTTCTCTATGGACCAGAGGAGGGCCAACCTGTCGGCGGAGCCCTGGTACGTCGGCTGGAGCACCTGCTTCGACGGGGAGACGAGACGCCTGAGGCAGTATTACAGCCGGCCGTATTTCCTGCCGAGGACCGCCGAGAGCGACACCATCGACTGGATCTTCATGGGGGGACCCGGACAGGGCGCGCACATGCATGTAAGATCACCTCGCAGAGGTGGACTCGGTAGAGGACCAGTATATTTTTAAGCCACAACAAAAAGGAATTAAAATAAAAGGTTTTATTCTCGACATTTATACAGTTCATAATTAAATGCTTTTTACAGTTACATTTACAACCAAAAAAAAAGAACCCAAAACCGTTTGAATTTGTGAATTTATTTACAACAATTAATAATAAAAATAAAAGTAAATCACGAAGTTCCTTAACAAGGCTAGCAAGAGAATTGAAATTTGGAGGAAACGGACACCTAAGAATAAAGTTTCGATATACCCTCTCCAATCGAATCTCAACGACTCACTTTTTAACATATGCTACTTGCTAAATGAAATTAATTTTACAGATTTATCGCATTTATTTTGAATTTTATTTTCCTCTCGAGCGTTCCATTTCAGAACCCTTTTCTGCGTTCAAGTCCATAGTGTTCGAAACGTCGAAAAATAAACGTAGTTTCGTATTATCAGGATACTGTGTATTGTATTTTTTTAGGAAATTTTGTTCCAATTCCTTGCCTTGGAAAAATTACAGAAAATAAAACGGCACAGATTTAATTTCGATGTCCATTCGGAGTTGAGAACAAAAAACTTCTTCCTTATTTTCGAATTCCCATAGCTTGTTTTGACTATTTTTTAACCCCCGACGTAAAAAGAGGGGTGTTACAAGTTTGACATGTTTGTCTGAGTTTCTGTCGGAGGGGCCTGCCCATTCGTGCAACAGCCGAAGCTGTTGCGTGGCCCTACCAGAGTTAATGATGTTAAACACAAAGGTATTTCCCGTAATTGGCCGTTATAATTTAGCGCCGCGGTTCGCAGGTGGACTCAGTTCGGCGGGTGTCGTGGCAGGCGCAGGTGCGTGGCAGCAAGCGATGGCAGCTGGCGCCGCCACCAGAGTGCCTCTACGCCTGTCGCTGGCTCACCTTCGCCGTACAACCCGGCGAGATACGTCAGCACCTTACGTAGACTAACACCAACACGCTCACACACTTTGGTGGAGAAACTCCGAAACACTAAAAAACAGCCAAATTGTACAAACACTACACCTCCACAACTAAGGGAATATGCCTACCGAATGTTTTTTAAACAGACTAGCAATAACTGTTGTGTAATTGAGTCGAAACAAAATCAGTTTTGTTAATGGGGCATTGGTTACGTTTTTTATGACCGGCCCACTGCCTAACGTGACAACCCTCCTTAAAAATAAACATCCTGATCCGGCAATTATCTGTGGTTCAAATCACAAATTATTGATATAATATTAAAATAATATTTAATCATAAATATTTGGAGAATCGAACTCACAACCTGACACCGAACCTGAAAGGGCACATTACTTATAAAAATTAGCGTAATCGTGTAAATGTAATTTGATTATTTTATATAATGATTATATATTACAATTGGTTCTAAGCTACAAAAATATCTACATATCAGTATTTTCTTTTACAAGAGTCGAGTAAATAATATTGATTTTTCAAAAGATATTAATTTTATAGTGCTGTTTTCTGCACTCAAGATGAAATTTAAAAATTTGTATAATTCAACGTTGTGAACATAACCCGTTTCGCTCAGTGACTAGTGCGTTGGGCACGTATCCAAGGTCACAGGTTCAAATCCTCGCGCAACAAAACTTTTCGTCCACACCGCTACAATTTTTTGAAATATTAAAATGTTTGTTTGTTATTTTACTTCAGTGGTGGTGGACACCAACCGTTGGTACCACAAGACGAGCGTGCTGCCGGGAGACATCAGCATCACAATAGGCGCAGAATACGATTGAGCGGACCCACTTGCGAATTGCTTACAGTGTTACGTTTTAAACTTGTTACGCTCCAAATAAAATACGTAACTGTGTAAAAAAAATTATTTCTTTGACTGTTAAGTGTTACCATACCGCCTGTAGAAAACCGTAATGAATTCGTTGGTGTCAATAACCTTTATGAATGAACGAACGAATGAATGAATAAATACTTTATTGTCCACCACACAAAATTAACAATAGACAAACAAATTAATGGAATGTGCTTTGAGTCCTTATAATCTTTTTTCATATAGTTAATTTGTCCATGCCTGCCTAGGGGTGTCCACTTTGAAAATACATCGATGTTTTTTTCGATGCAATGCATCGAGACTGTACATCGATATTTTCCGATGCAATAGAAAAATCGATGTTTTCTCAACATTACTACGACGAGTACTTTTACATTTTTTAATCATTTATTTTTCATACAAAGAATACATGTAATTAAGAAAAAGATATTTAAGCAAACCTTCTCTCATTCATTTGTTTATTAAATAAAGCGAAAACACAACTGTATGTCAAAAATTAATTAAAAAGTAAATAAACAAGTTTTAATATTTTAACATTGGCCTAATATTTCAACTTGCCGTGTGGTGCCGGCGTAAGAATAAGTCACCCTATCTCATCCCGTGGGTGTCGTAAGAGGCGACTAAGGGACAAGCCACAAACATCTGGTGGCCACCGATAGATGGCGGGATAACCATCTCGATTCTCCAGACCATAAATAGTTAGGCCAATAACGGGCAGCAGCGTTATAGGTGCAAGGAGTCTGGAGGAACTGCGGTTGCCAACCGGCTTGCCAGGCGTGGCAACTATGGCAAAACCCCCCTACATGATGGAAGTCCAAATAGTGCGGCCCCCAGTCCCCGGCAGCCCTGCTATTCCTGACTACGGTAGCGGTCATGGTAACGGCAGGGCAGGGGGTGCTAAGAATCCCCGGCTAGGATTCGGCTACCAACGACGGCGACTGGACCTGGCAACATACAACGCAAGAACATTGAGGACTGACGAGAAGATTACAGAGCTGGAAGAAGAGGTGAACAGGCTGCGCTGGGATATAATAGGATTATCTGAAGTCCGAAGACAGGGGGAGGACACGATAATCCTCGAATCCGGCAACCTGTTTTACCACCGGGAGGGCGACCAACTGTCCCAAGGAGGTGCGGATTTATCGTCCACAAGTCTCTCATTAACAACGTTGCTAAAAATCGAGAGTGTGTCGTCGAGGGTTGCGTACCTTATACTCAGAATATCCAAACGGTATTCGCTGAAGGTCATACAGGTTTACGCACCAACGTCGACACATCCCGATGATGAGGTGGAGGTAATGTATGAGGATATATCACGAGCCATACATTCCTCCAAAACTCAGTACATGGTGTTAATGGGAGACTTCAACGCAAAACTAGGCAAAAGGAAAGACGATGAGCTGAGAGTAGGTAGTTTTGGAATAGGGCAACGGAACCCAAGGGGGCAGCAGCTGGCTGACTTTATGGAGAAGGAGGGACTCTTTATGATGAACTCCTTCTTCAAAAAGCAGCCCCACAGAAAGTGGATCTGGATTAGCCCCGATGGTTCCGTAAAAAGCGAGATAGACCTCAGTATGACGAACAAACGGCAAATATTCAATGATGTCTCTGTGATCACAAGGGTGAAGACCGGCAGTGATCACCGATTGGTGAGAGGCACATTGAATATTAACATCAGGCTGGAAAGATTTCGTCTAATGAAGTCCACACTCCGACCATCTCGTGCCCATATCCAGAACTCCGAAAGCTTTCAGCTCGAGCTATATAATCGCTTCCAATGCCTAGAAAATTGCAGCACTGTGGACGATATTAACGCTAAGCTCGTGGAAACTGTCCATGCCGTGGGCCTTAAATTTTATAAGGCCCGCCGCACAAATAGAACGCAAAAACTCTCCGATCACACTTTTAACCTCTTGGGAAAAAGACGTGAGATGCGACTGCAGTCTTTAACTGACATGTCAGACTACAGGCGGCTTAATAGGCAGATCTCCAAATGCATGCGACGAGACTTACGCATCTTCAATACAGCTCGTATTGAGGGAGCTATAGAGCGGAACCTAGGCTCAAAAGTCTTCGCCAGAGATCTGTCTATCGGACAAAGCCACACTGACTAAGTTGAAGACTGACAGCGGGGCTATCATCTCCAGCAGACCAGAGGTTTTGAGTGAGATTGAGAGGTTCTATGGACAGCTGTACACATCGTCGTTGGAGCTTATCCGACACTATTCCGAAAATATCCCGGACGTTAGTCTGGGCGAGATTCGAATGGCTCTTAACCATCTTAAGAATGGCAAAGCATCGGGAGAGGACGGAATTACAGCAGAGCTTCTGAAAGCGGGTGGAGAACCGGTACTTGTAGTCCTTCAGAGGCTCTTTAATTCCGTCCTTCAGGGTGGTACTACACCAGAGGCGTGGAGCAGAAGTGTGGTGGTGCTGTTCTTCAAGAAAGGCGATAACGCTCTCTTGAAGAACTATAGACCGATATCCCTTCTGAGCCGCGTCTATGTGCTGTTCTCAAAAGTCATCTTGAATCGTCTCGCTTCCAGACTCGACGACTTCCAGCCTCCCGAACAAGCCGGATTCCGAAAAGGCTTCAGTACCATAGACCACATACACACCTTGCGGCAGATTATACAGAAGACCGAAGAGTATAATCTGCCTTTATGCCTAGCGTATGTGGACTATGAGAAAGCCTTCGATTCTGTCGAAATGTGGGCGGTACTCCAGGCTCTTCAGCGGTGCCAAATTGACTGTCGGTATATCGAAGTGCTGAGGTGTTTGTATGGCAAGGCTACGATGTCCGTCCAAGTACAGTCCAGTAGTACAAAACCTATCCAACTGCAGAAGGGTGTAAGACAGGGTGATGTCATATCCCAGAAACTCTTCACCGCAGCGTTGGAAGATGTTTTCAAGCTTCTGGCCTGGAAAGGACGAGGTATTAACATCAATGGCGAATACATCACCCACCTTCGATTTGCCGACGATATAGTCATCATGGCAGAATCGCTGGAGGACCTGTGTGCTATGCTCAATGACCTCAACAGTGTCTCCCAACGGGTGGGCCTTAAGATGAACATGGACAAGACGAAGATCATGTCTAATGTCCATGTCACGCTTATACCGGTTGTTGTTGGGAGCACTGAGCTCGAAGTTGTTGACGAGTACGTTTACCTAGGACAGTTAGTCCGGCTAGGTAAGTCCAACTTCGACGCAGAGGTCAATCGGCGAATCCAACTCGGATGGGCAGCGTTCGGGAAACTTCGGCAAATCTTCTCGTCGAATATACCTCAATGTTTGAAGACTAAAGTCTTCAATCAATGTGTGTTGCCAGTGATAACCTACGGAACCGAGACATGGTCCTTCACTGCTGGCCGTATGAGGAAGCTCAAAGTCGCTCAGCGAGCTATGGAGCGGGCTATGCTCGGTATTTCTCTGCGTGATAGAGTTCGTAACGAAGACATCCGCAGTAGAACCAAGATAACCGACATTGCTCAGAGGATTAGCAAGCTGAAGTGGCGATGGGCCGGCCATATAGCTTGTAGAACCGTTGGGGAAGAAAAGTTCTCGAGTGGCAGCCTCGTACTGGCCATCGCAGTGTGGGACGACCCCCCACTAGATGGAGTGACGACCTGTACAAATGTGCGGGAAGTCGATGGATGCAGGTGGCTCAGGATCGTACTTCGTGGCAGTCTGTGGGGGAGGCCTATGTTCAGCAGTGGACTCAAACAGGCTGAAATGATGATGATGATGAATATTTTAACATAATTTCATCCATCGCAGGAGGTCCGTTATGTGGAAATCTTTCTTATTTAGAGGTCCCCCGATTGCAATGATTAGTTCTTTTTTACATGACAGTCGTATTTTCTATTGTCTTTTTTGTTATTTTTTCTTTTGTGTTATTTTAATGAATTTTCTCTTATCTGTACTCTGATAAAATGAAAAGATTCTAACGATACTTTATAAATGAAGACACACACATACATGCATTGTCCCCAGTAATCGAAATTCGATCGTAATTAATTATACATGGTAGTATATGTACGATTTTTTTATTGATGTAATGCATTTTTTATGCATAATTAAAAAATATATTAGTATTTTGCATTCCTTCTCTATATAAAACTAAGTGTGGGAAATTTCATGCTTTTCCGTTCGCGCAATTTTCAGACAAATGGGTACTTACAAAGTTTTTGCATCCCATATTAATATATTGTTTTTAAAAAAAACATAAAACTGTTTTTTGTGGGTGAGTCTTATTAAAAAAAAAACAAATCTTTAGCTTCTTATCATTGATTCGATATTTTATGAAAATACATCGATACATCGAGTAAATTAACACCTTCTCAAAACATCGTATTGAATCGATGCATCGTATTGTAAACATCGATTGAATTCGATGCATCGATGTATATCGAATATCCCTATGTCTGCCCAATATTTATGCCAATTTTATAGTTATATCCGAGTAAGTTGTGGGAGGAAATGAAATAGGTGATTGATAGTATTATAACAAATCTAACCTTCTAGAAATTTATACCACAAGTAGTTAGTAAATAACGCACTGTCAATGGAAAAAAAAATAATTAAAACCACAATTTGGGCTACACTGAAAGCCGTTTATTCATATCAAGCTATAATCCTACACATGCGGATATTACATAATATTGAAACAATACATAGTTTGAACATACTAATGGAATGACCAATGTCTACTTTGTACAACTATAAACGGTATTGATTATCTGCATTTTAAAAGTTAAAGAGAGCCTCAGACGTATGTTTCGCAAGGTTTTTAAGTACATTTTGACTTATAAAAAACAAACAGTACAGAATGATATAAAAAAATCTATAAAAAAATCTATTTATAACACAATATTGCAACGCCATGATAGTTAAAATTTGTGATTTTCAAACATGCAATTAAGGCATATGCAACTGCGACACAGATTATAAATAAAATGTAGATTATAAACACAAAACCCTACTCTCGACGCACAGAAGTCTAGTGTGTAAGCTTTACACTACAGTTTGATACATTTTCAAGAAAATAAGCCACATTTTGTTTAGCTGTACCAAGCCTATTCAGCATAATATAATCTATTAGCAAACAATTGTCTAGTCTCATATAATTTTACATACAATTTCACATCTATAACATTACTTCAATTTTCTATGTTTAAGAACACTATTTCTTTATCATTACAAAAAAATGCAAAATACACTGCAAATAGTAATAAACATTGTGTTACTTAGTTTAGTGTTACTTATTATATATTTGGTGTCAATATTTTATTTTTTTAAGTTAATAGTTTTATAATTTTCTAATCATAACAAGATTTTAAGAAGTGAAACCAGTTTTTTAATTGAAGCAATTTTTTTTCCTTGATATTATATATCTTTAAAGACATCTAAAGCTATAGATTTTTAGTAAAATTTTTATCATATACTAGCCACTACACACTCATGATTAATGTTGTCGACAAGAACAAGATTAAACAACTTTGAAATTTTCTATGCTAAGCACATTACATGTCATATTTAAAAATTCGAAAATTGAACAAGATTGCAAGATTTTTGATTTTATTCTAATCATATGAGACCTAAGTGACGTAAATTAATGGTTTAACATTTTATTATTGGCAACAATTAAATAGAGAACAAAATATACTGAAATAGTAAAGAGTTTGATATTTTCCTACTGTAATTGTTTTGCTTTCAACACTTTAACAATTTACTGCGAGTCAAATAATGAGGGTTGCCATAAGTTTACTCCTCCGCCTGGCCAGCGGAATCGAGAATGACCTCGAAGGAGAATGGCTGGAATAGATAGCCTTCACCCGCGTAGAACTTGCTTTGGAATTCCACCCTGGAAAGAAATAGTTGTATTGCAAACAAATTAATATGGGAAAAAAGGGAAATTATATTGTTTTAACATACATTTGAATAGTAAGAATCTCATAGTTTTTCTGATGGAAATATTACTACATATTTGTCTAAATGAAGGCACAATAATAAACTTCTTTGTTGATCTTCTTCCTTGATATAAAGTTTCTCATCACCTCCATTGCAATTTTATTTGTATATACCATGTATTCAAAGTGGTAAAGACTACATTTACTATAATAATAACTTGTTAAGGTATGCATTTACAGGGTGATTTTTTAGATGAAGTACATACTTTGACATAATGTTAATTGAGCATTCCATAATTCAAGAAAATATTAATATATTATTTTGTCAAGAAAAAACCAGAAAAATATCAATTTAAACATTGTTTGTTAAACCCGTTAAGAGTGGTCACCCTATTTATAAGCGGTTTAGTAATTGTGCCTTCAGTGAACAGTTTTAGTGCTTGTTAATAGGTTATTGTATTGAGATTTGAGACAATTGATTTGAGTAAGGCAGGAATTTCTAATATTTTATCCATAATGTTTGAAAAAATTAAAAATATTCTTTGAAAAAAAAAAATGAGGTCACAAGTATGTACCAGATTCAGATTTAGAATCAAATTCTGCATATGGTCTGTTAATATGTCCATCGTCAATAAAATCACCCTGTATATACACAATGACATCGATGTAACACACACACGCGGGTATTTGCTTACCAATGCAGACGCAACGTATGCAGGAACGCAGAGAGACCCTCCATCAGCACCAGAATGGAGACCGAAATGGCCGCCCATCCGGCGAAGACCACGTACAGGAAGATGCCGCCTTGGAAGCCCATCGACATCAGACCTGAAGGTGGCAGAAAAAGAGTAATAAAAGAGCTTTCACAATGGAGGTCTATTAAATCTAAATCTAATATGAACGCGATAAAACCGTTAAAATATTTTCATGTAATGGGCAGTGGCAGATTTTCCCTAAGGCCCAATAGGCCCGGGCCTATATAATAGGGCGGCCAACCGTGACAAAAAAATCACTGATGATAACAAGATACGATGGGCTCTGAGAAAGGGGGGCTGGAACTTACTACATGGACTGAGGCCTAGGGCGGCTACAAATACGCCATTTCTAATGGGTATAGTGTTGGCATATATAAGAAATTGTTAGACTGGTGAGAGACTCAGTCGCGTTGCACAGAGATTTCAGACATACCCACTAAATGAAACTTATCAATTTCTCAAGTGATTCACGAAAACATAATGGGTCACTTAAATGATATTGACAGTGGCCTATGAAAAGGCTGTCAGATGATAATTTTGTGGTGGACTATGCCCTGATACCCTCTGTACAGAGGAGGCCTTTGCCCAGCAGTGGGACATGAATAGGCTGATACAGGCTTGTGTTTGATCCTAATATTTACATTATGTAAATCAGTATTCGTATTAAAAATTTTAATGTTTTTATGTACATAACATTTTAATATACAGGGAGACTTTTAAAGGTGGCCAAATATACACAGGAGGTTTAGGCTCGGTAGTATAATCGTTTATTGAAATAAAAACAAAGTTCTTTTATTTAAAAATTATCATTCTATTCCCTAAAAACAGAACTTGTTGACACGCGGTAGTCATTCATAAATAGCTAAATTTTACTGTTCACGCACACAAACGACCTTGTGTGCGTGTTAGTTATGAATGATCGCGCGTAAAATAAATGAGTTGCGTATAAATCAAGCACTTTTTGAGATAACTTAAAATGAATGTAATTAATTACTTACGAGCGATTTAAAATATTTATTTTTAATTTTTTAATATAGTATACAATTTAATTAAAAACATTGGATATACTTAGAAAAGCCTCCCTGTATACATATTTTGAGAGGCCAAGGTTAAAATATTTATTCCTTTAAATTCCTAACTCAGAGATGCTTTGGAAATTATATTATAAATCGTTCGCTAACATTATTAACATATATAACTTTACTTCAACCCGTGGGTTTCAGTGTTTTGGGGCATAGAGCAGTGTTATGAGATCACAGATTATGAAAAGCTCTTTACCTTTCCTCAGCAGCATGTTCCAGGCGACCTCGGCCAGTTGGGCGTGTGCCAGAGACAAGGCCCACAGACGGAGATACGAGGCAGTGTGGGAAACGCTGCCCAGCACGTACTCAATGGTGTGGATGGCCTGCCACAAACGTCGTACGTATAAACAAAGCAATTATGCGTGTACTCACGTACGCATGTATGAAGTTACACTTCTTTAAAGTAACGTAAGAAAAATTAACTAATCCTTGTCCCGTGTGCCAGTGCTGTTTAATTGTGATAATGAGACGTTAAATGCAATTGATAATGGTTTAATTAAATAATTTGGAATTATGGTTAACGTTAAAAAGTTATTATTATTTGCCATGGTAACACCATGAAGTTGGTGTCGCTTTTAAGCGTCATAAAAGTTCACTCTCATTGTTTTTCCCATACGGGCACGAGTGTCACACTTTCACTTCAGGCAGTTCTTCTGTGAGGTCTTAGTAGTTCCCTGGACGGATCTGCCCATCCATGCAACAGTTAATACTGGTGCGTGAGTTAAAGGATTACACCGTGGCGCAGTTCTATTTTCGCACGAGACAAATATCCGTGTGATTCACAAATAGTTGGTTCAGGTTTAGATGTACTACGTGAAATTTATTTATTTCCTTAATGTTCGCCGACATGGGGCACATTGAGCATGTAAATTAATTCAAAAATATAAAAAAAAATCGTAATGTTCCAACAGTTATGGATAAACAAATCTCTTTTAATATAAACTTCTACTCCAATAAAATAAATTAATATAATTTTTTTTTAAAGTGAAAAAATAGCAAACAAGCTGGTGGTTCACCTGATCTTAAGTGACAACCGCCACCCATGGACATCTACAACACTTGTAGGGTTGCAAATGTTTTGCCACCTTTAAATAAAGTGGGCCCCGGCTACCTCACACACCAAACAACCAGACACCAAACTACCAGACGAAACGCAGAAGTGTAACACTTCTACTTTACGCCGGTCTTCTGCGAGGTCGTCGCTCTTACCCGGATGGACCTGTACATTCGTGGCACAGCCCATTAATGCACTAGTGTGAGAAAAATGTAAACAAAACAAAAATTTTAATAATTGTAATTAATAAACTTATAACTTTATATGGAACATGCTTACAATACAGTATGGTGGCGACGTTTTCTAATGGAAGACTAAAATAGATCTTTCTAGGACGCAGTGGTCGTTGGGATGTAGCACTCCACCAAACCCCTTCCACACCAAATAAATAGATACAATGCCAAGGGGCAATGTTACCTAACGGAAGAGTACAATGGTACAATGGAGGTTCCTGTACCTGGTGGATGAAGACCTCGGAGATCTCCTCGTGCGAGTGGGCCCCGTGCGGGGCTTCAGCGGGCGCTCCGGCGGCGGCGCCGTTCTCGGCCTGCGCCCCCTCCGCGCCCTCGGGGCCTGCGCCCAGCGGCTGGCTCCTCTGCGGAACATCCAACGTCCAATCTAAGCAACCCCACCCAGATCCGGAACAATTAGTGTCCCGGACGGGAATCCAACCCACGACCCCATCATAGCTTTTTAGTCTATTCATCGAAGATCCATTTACTTTTTTTATCGTTATATCGATCGAACATATTTAATCGTTAAGATCGAGTGTCTGCACAGAAATGCATCCACCCATTTTTTTTTATATACGGATATCTTGATCTTTAATACAAATTCCAGGAAAGAACAGTAAATATTTAGACAATGTTATCCAGTCCCAAACCAAGCCAAGCTTGTACTAAGAACACCTTTGTAAATAAATACACGGCAGACACTGGAGAGACACTATGTCCAGCACACAATATTTGTCCAGCAGTGGGGATCGAACCCACACCCTCTGGCGCAGAGGCGCCAACAGCTGCCCCTCGGGCGCATCGTCCGTCCCTCTCGCACGCGTACCGCCTGCTGCTTCTGCTCGCGCATGATGAAGTACGGCTTCCCGAAGAGCATGATCGGCACGCACAGCAGCGCCACCACCACGAACATCTGCCGGCAGAACAAACCACCGCCTCAATACAAATACTATGAAAGCTATGATCTACTTGTCATAAAGTTCCAGACAATGGGGTTTCAATATATTTGTCTTCCGCAGAGATTTCCTCCCGGGCATTAGGTCTTCTTAAGAGGAAACCAGATTCTACCTTCTGCAGGCCCATCTGTCCGGCATACATGACGTCATCACACTGCGGCCTGGTGTTGGGGTCCGTCTTGAACAGCATCATGTTGATGAAGGTGATCAGGATCGAAGGGGCACAGTACGCGCTGGTCCTTATTACGTCTGCAATGGAAGTACAGATAGCATTAGCAAATAACCATTTTAATTATTTTTATATAAAATATACATGTATACTCTATGTATAAGAGAATGTTATGTTGAAATAATGCACACACCTATAACCACTGCTGATGTCTAACAAATTTAAGGTAAAAACTGCTGTATTCTTGACCATGTTTTCCATATATTTTTGTTAATGCAGTTCAACTGTCTGTCTGTGTTGAGTCACAGCCACCGATGAAAATTCACAGAAGCCGTTGATAGATTGATACAGCTTGCACCTACCTGATCAGGCGAAATATAAATGTATAAACTCTTTACATTGGTCTTAGTGAAGCTGCGATACTTAGAGCTTGCCCTAAACATGAAACAGCAACAATTGCTCCATCTACATATTTCAAAAACTTGATAGTATCTTGGAACAGAAATAGAAAGACTTTTTTTTAAGTGAAAAGTTGCCAAGAGAGCAGGCGGTTCACCTGATGTTAAGTGAATACCACCGCGCCCAAGGACATCTGCTACACCCTAGGGTTGCAGATGTGTTGACAACCTTAAGAAAATTGGGCTCCGGCCACCTCACTCACCAGACGAAACGCGAAAGTATTATACTTCCACTTTACACCGGTCTTCTGTGAGGTCGTGGTACTTACCCGGAAGAGCCTGCCCAGTCGTGCAACAGCCGAGGCTGTGGCCCTCCAGTTCTCCATTTCGGACTCCGCTAGTTTTCTATTTCTCAGGTTCGCACCAATCATGCATGACACGACGTTCGCAGCCAACAGACCACCACCATCCATTATTGCAGTATTATAAGAACCGATGAAGTTGGTTTAAGACCACCTTACACATAATCATGCGGCCACTGTACTCTATATTATTTTATTCTCCACATACCGGGGTCATCGCTGCCAAGTTTCCCAGGAGTGGGCCCGTATGAAGTCCACTTGATGAACATCAGCAGCACCATGTAGAAGAACAGCAGGGTGAGGAACACGATCTGAGGTATGAACTCGACGTAGATGCTGATGCGCCGCTTGAAGTAGCTGTCGAGAGTATGCATACAATTAGCACTACTATACTTATACAGTACATACAGGGTGGCTTTTCTAAAAGTGCCCAAATTCACACAGGAGGTTCAGACTCCGTAACATAATCGTTTATTGAGATAAAAACAAACATTTTTTTTAAATTGACATTCCATTCCCTAAAAAACAGAAATAAACGCGTCATATGCGTGTGCATGCTAGTTATGAATGATCGCGGTAAAATAAATGAGTTGCCCATAAATCACGCACTTTTTGAGATAAGTTCAAATGAATTCATTTAATTAATTACGAGTGACTTTAAATATTTATAATATTTTATATAACATTATTTATGTCTAGAATTTAATAAAAAACAATAGATACACTTAAAAATCCTCCCTGTATATAAATCTTGAGTTATTTACTTTTGATTCGGATTAAATTAAACATTTTGCAATATCATGTAGAGTTCAATTACTTATTAAGGTTCTTACATAACACGATTTTGCAACAGTGCTACAAGTATACTACTGATAACTGTGCATCCTTAAAAATTGTCAACTCACATGTGATTCCAGAGCGACATGCAGACCCCGAATAACATGTGGAAGACACCTATGATGATAGAAATCTTCATCTTGTAGGCGTTCATGAAGATGATCTTGTTCGACTCGGCCAGCTGTGGACAAGGAATTTATTAATTTTATTGATAAGGAGGTTTAGGTGTAAAATCTCATTTTACTTATTAAAAGATAGTAAAAGGAAAGGCCTATTATAATTTCGAAGAATATGTTTAAGACAAGGATATTTGGAAATGACTCTTGCAAGTCCCCTGGCAGAAGCTGATTTTATACTTCATTTAGATATGTCATAAAAACAATGATACAGCAGTTTCTTGCCAGTTCTTTCCTGGACAGGTCTAAATTAGCAAACTGGAAGGTAGTTTCTTATTTACCAAGAGTCCAAAACAAGCCTATCTATATACATATAATTCTTCTATAAGTGTGTATGTCACCGAACTCCTCTTAAATGACTGGACCGATATTTTTTCTTCAGGTGGATTCGAGAATGGTTTAGATACACAATTTTTTTAAAGTTGTATTTAAGTCATGTGTACAAGTCAAAAAAGTAAAGTATCAGCCTATACATGTCCCACTGCTTGGCAAAGGCCTCCTCTGCACGGAGGGTATAGGTTGCTCGAGTAAGTATATTAAATTAAAGGCGAGCGCCCGGAGTCTGAACTAGCACGGCTCAATAACATGGTACATGACAAGGATTGAATAAACAAATTTTGACTTTGCCTTTCTACATGGGCTCCGTTCTGACTTAGGGACAGACGAAATCGAAGGCTCCGTTCCGACTTGGAGGAGCCGAAATCGAAGGCTCCGTTCTGACTTATGGACAGTCGAAATCGATGGCTCGGTTCCGACTTAGGGGAGTCGAAATCGAAATGTCAGCCGAGTCGCCCACCTGCCAGACGGGGTCGATCCCGAAGGGGTACGGGTACTGGAGGTAGTCCTCGGAGTCGGGGTTGAGCTGCAGCAGCTTGTTGTCGGCCAGGGTGTCGTTGCGGTAGTTGCTGCGCCACGACGAGCCGAAGATGTTCAGGCTCTTCGAGAATATGTCGTTGTAGATCAGCCCCGTGTACATCGAGAACAGCCCCATCAGCAGGATGATGTAGCGCCCGCCGAAGAATATGTTCCAGATCTGGGGCACATTAAACCAAATCAACAATTACAATTTGTGCAAAGAGCCGCTGTGGGAATCGAACCCACGAAGAAGAAAGAGTGTACACGTACTAGCGTGAGCAGACGTATCCTTGTGTGTGTGTTTGTGTTCGGATGCTAGAGTGAGTTGATGTGTCCATGAAGAAGAAGAAAGAAAAAAATAAAAAAATAAATTTGTAATAGAAAGAATGTACACGTGCTAGCGCGAGTAGACATATCCTTGTGTGTGTATCAGTGTTCGGGTGCTAGCGTGAGTAGATGTGTCCTTTTGTGTGTGTGTGTGTGTGTGTGTGTGTGTGTGTGCGTGTGTCGCACCTCGCTGTCGATCTTCTTGGCCTGCAGCGGCTTCTCCTTGTAGCACATCCAGAAGCCGAAGATGGCGATGAGCGCGCCGTGGCCCAGGTCGCCGAACATCACGGCGAACAGGAACGGGAACGTGATTATTGTGTACGGGGCTGCCAAGGGACAATACGTTATAAGCCTTATTTAATGGGACATAGTATTCGGTTTCCTTGTACCTCTTTGACTGACCGTAAAACCTACGCGTGGGATTGTTATAAGCAAATTTATAGAACACTGCAATTTATATCTTAGGCCATTGCTACTATAGCTTAACTTTCCTTGCAATAAGTCATCCGCTTATTTTAGACGCTTGGAGGAAAAGTGTACTTGATTGGCATAATGACAAATGATTTCCTGTACCATGCATTGTTTTAATTTATAATATCTATATATGTATATCTTTTTGTTTAAATCTAAATTGTCTAGTTTTGTCCTCTTACATTTTTTTTAAAATCAACAACAGAATACATATCAGAACTATTGATACAAACGTTTTAAAATTTTGTAGACATGACTGATGGTGCATTGTGTTAAACAAATAAACTATAGGATTCATTACTCATTTAGATCAATGTATGGACATTCTCTCATCCATGTTATTTGCGTCAACGTTAACGTCAACTTCAACCGATCATTTGATTATGAATACTTGGACTAAATTGAATGAATTTCTTGAACCAAATTGAATGAATTTCTTTAAATAAATTGAACGAATTTCTTTAAACAAATTGAATGAATTTCTTGGACCAAACTCAATAAATTTCCATGGACATTTCACTTATACGTGCTTAAGTGTCCAGGCCAAATCATGTTAACGTTGACAGCTTGGTATACATAGAAATTAGAACGAGCTGTTGGCTAATTGGTAGCTGGTTATTGAATTTTCATTGGCGTAAAGTATTTATTTAAAAACTTTTTGCACAATTGCGTACAATGGAGGACTCAACACCATTAGGTGTTCTCAACGAGTCGACCGACGAATAAATAGGGAAAACAATAGTGTCACCCACCAGGATTGACCTCCCGATAGGTGGCGACGCCGTACGCGTAGATGAGGTGCTGGAAGGCGGAGGTGAACTTGTTGTTGCGGTTGTACGTGGGCGGCTCCTCGGCGGTCTCCATGCGGTTCAGGATCGGCGGCACCGAGCTGCCGCTGCGCTCCTGCAGGAGGAGCAAGGTCAGGGTGTTGCAAGAGCAGTCTTTATTAAGAATGGAAACATAGAAAACAAATAGGCCAGAGTCAGGATAGGCAGACAGATTGCAAGAGCAGTGGAGGCTTTAGGGGAATAGGACTTTATAAAGGATGCAGACGGAGGACAGAAATCATGGTGTTGCAAGAACAGCTGTTATTGGACAGAGAATTCTTTACGGAGAATGGAGACAAAGAAAACTAATCGGGCACAGAGTCAGGACAGTCACAGATTGCAAGAGCAGCGGGGGCTTTAGGGGAGTGAGATTTTTATCAAGGATGGAAATAGAGGAAGCAAATTAGAGCTAGCCCCGACTTTCAGTAGAAACTTTTTACCCTTGAGGAACCTCTTCCAAGAGAGGTGGCGTTAAGTCAGTCTCTCTTAAAACTATTTGAATTAAAATAACTGAAGGTAGCATATAACCATCATCACTTCGTCCTGTTCAAGTCCACTGTTGCACAAATGTGCGCCAACTGCATCCGCCGACCAAGCACATTTGCACAGGTCGTCACTTCCCACTTTATGAAAAGGTGGCAGCCAAATCATCTGCAACCATACGGGTGTAGCAGATGTCCATGGGATCACTTTCCATCAGATGAGCCTCCTGCCCGTTTGCCCCCTTTTTCCGTAAAAAAGAAATCATCTATGGTCGGGGAAAACTGCAGTGGAGTTAGTGTAGTCCAAACAGGCTACCGACCGTTCCCCTCCTCAACGCCAGCTGGATGGTCTCCATGTCGAGCGCGGGCACCCAGCACTCGGCGATGAGGCACTTCTGGGTGACGTCCAGGTTGAACAGGTTGAGGGTGTGGTAGATCGCCTTGATCTTGCGCACCTTCACGAACCAGTTCTTGATGTTCTTCGCGGCGGCCACCAGCACGCGGTGGCGGTGGTCTTGCGTCTGGCCCAGCACCTGCGAGACGCGCGTTTCGGCCGTTAAATACTATACTATAGTGTTGTGAATGCTGTTACTATCTATGATTGAGTGTAACTTGTTGCCGTAAGATTTGTGTTTATTAAACTTTGTGTACGTGTAATTTTTTTGGTATTACAAAATAGATAAACAAATATACGTAACGTAGTATAAGAAGTATACGTTAACTGAGAACTGATCGGTGATTGAAGGATGTCGAAAAAATATCGACATATCGATATTTGGATCCGAGATATAGATATAAAATAGTCAACATCGAAATCTCGTATCAAAAACTATATTTCTTCAAATTCGAATGCCGCAGTCCGTATGTAAATACTGTGCTAACGTCTATCTTAGTAACCGGTAGTTTCTAAGGAATACTATACGGAGCTATAGGGAAATACTAGAACTAACGTCTTATTTAGTAGTATCATAACAGGATTTCTCAAGGCGAGGCATTTGAGATCAAAATCCGATATCAAATCAAACGTTAGAAAGTCACATTCAATTCATAGTGATATACTAGAGGTCACCCCTATTATAGGAGCTGATAGTTATATTGTTAAATTAACAATTACTCGTAACCTAGCGAAACGAATTGCTTCGCGTGTTATTTATTACAACGCAGCAACGACTAAACACAATGAGGGATATTTTACTACGGGTCAGTGTGTCAAAGCCGAGACGCTTTTGACAGCAATTGAGAGGCTACATGGACGTTTTGTTGTGACGCGATATTGAAGGCAAATTGAAGCCGACCGGTTAACCGCTCTATTACCTATTCAATTGAACCGTATCGAGTTATTTCCGTGTTCATTTAGTTCAGTCAAACACAGACGCACTAATTAAGTCTGTCTTTTTTTAAACATTGCTCTTACTTTAGGATAACGGTATCTAGTATATATTTTAAAAACAAACATTACACGTGGACAAACACCCAGTTACGAAATAATTGCCCACAGGGTCACAAATAATTGTTCCGTGTGGGAATCAAACCCACTTTACTATATCGTTAACTAAATAACCGATATCGCAGCGTCAACCCTAAACACGATCTGTCCAACTACGCAGAGCCTTGAATTTATGGTGGCGTCATACATTCCGTAAGGCCACGCTTACCGTGTTGAGGTCTTCGATCCTGGTCATCACGCCCATTGCCATCTCGCGGCGGTCTGCCGGCGCCTCAGGGCACGGGTACAGAGTTGCGCGGAAGCCCTCGCATATCTTCTTCACGCGAGTCTTGAGCTGGTCCCCTTGGAAGAAGATGATGAACACCGACTTGTACACCTGGTCAGACTGGGAGGAAATGGGTTTATTAGAACTGGTCCGATCGTTTGTTGTTGCTGACGGGAATGGAGGCGGCTAACTATTATACAGATTGTAAGCATAGTTTAAACTTTTGAATGACTGTGGTAGTGCCACGAAACCATCTTCGCTGTTGCACGAATTTGTAGGTCCGTCCGGGGAAATACCCCGACCTCACAAAAGAACTTCTGCGTTTCGTCTGCCACGTGAGGCAACAGGAGCCCGCTTTAATAAAAGGTGGCAACGCGTCTGCAACCCTACGGGTGTTGCAAATGTCCTTGGGCGGCGGTTATCGCTTAACATCGGGTGAACCGCCAGCTCCCTTGCCACCTCCCCACAAAACTCACGCCCCACAGATCAGCAGCGCTGGTTTTCACTCTCTCCCTACTTCCTGAGGTTTTATTCGGAAGTTTTAGTTCTGGCCTACCAAGCGAAAAACTACATAATTAGAAGAAGAAGAAACGTTTATTCGCGGTCTAAGCACAATGGATACATACAAAACTTAAAAATAATGTAACCACACAGTATTTGAAATAATATAAAACCTTAAAATAAATGTGAACATAACAACAAAAAGAAACAAAATAATAGGCTAAGGTCTGTGCAGCAGCATAACACCGTAAAACGGACGGGACTCGGTGAAAGTCGAGATACACCAACCAAAACTCGTTCTGATCCCGACACCGGTTTTCAGTCTGGCCCGCACTTCCAAGCAACACGGACGGCTGCGTCGGTGCACTTGTAATAAATAAATAGCGAAATACAATAATTTCAAAATCGACACTCACAGAAGACGGGTCCTCCAGCGGGCTGTCGATCTCCGCCTGCCTGAGGAACACGTTGCCCCTGCACGCGCGCCACAGCATACGCTCGAAGGCCGGGATGCGTTCTCGCAGGATCACTCCCGCCACGAAGCTACAACCGAGGGTTGGTTGGGAACAGCCCCCTTAGTAACACCGGCCCCGTAACAGTCGCGATTCGATTAACGCTCGAAGGAGAGCTTGCAGAGCGGCTATTGTTTGCTATGGCTATATTGATGTGGCGTATTTTTCATACAGAATTTTGTCGTATCAAATTCAACTACTGGGAACGTTCATGCATAATGGTTTTAATGCCTCCCAGCACCTATGGAATGACCGGTGTTAGCCCTGGCAAGCTTTTAAAGGCCGAATTACGATGCTTAAAAAAATAACACGACAAATTCCTAAAATAAAACCTCTTCCAACACGCCTTCAATGCATCTCCTTCGAGTTCGAATCGCGAATGTTTCCATAACGATAATGAGCATAAACATTCGGAGCAACGGAATTAAATATTAAGATAAAAGGCGAATGTTTTACAATAAACTGCGCTCTAATATTTTAACATGCAACATTTATGCCCATTATAGTTTATGGAATTGTAATGGCCCAATATACAAGGCCAGCCTCATCAGATAAAAAAAAGAAAGAAAAGTACCAGGCTTTGGGCTAATTTAATTAATACTCAGTGTAATTTCTAATACAGTCGTATTAAAATGATGAAATAGAAAAAAAGACTAACAGATCTATTGCAAAAGAAGAAGCTTACATTTAAATAAAAAGGCAGAAAATTACTTTAAGCGAGTATTTACATATCACTAAGAAGAAAATGAAAATCATAAACATTTCATATATAATACATACAGCTCTGTCACATTGGTGGTGTTGATAACGGTTTGTTTTTAAAACATAATATACCTTATGTCAAACGTGTACCTATATTCCTTATATTGACTGCACAGCACTACCACCCGATGGTAAGTATGGAAATAGAAGGTGGTAAACGCACTAGTCTTCAAAGCCTTTTTGTTCTTCAAACGTGGGGCCCGATAAATTGTTCTGACGATTCGCTGTACATAACGCCAGTTACTAGACTCCATAGAGTCAGTAACTCGTTCATGGGACGGTGTATACGCTTCTACAACAAAATCCCAGCTAATGTGCAAAGCCTATCTATTAACAGGTTTAATAAATTTAATCAAGAAAAACTTTTTTTTAAAAAGGGTTATTATAATATAAATGAATACATTAACGATAATAACGTCTGGGAATGAGATGATCGCTGCTAAACTGTTTCTAAAAAAAAAAATTGTTAAACAATGTATTTGTTGAGAAAAAAAAATTACAAAAAAGAGGACACCTACGGAGTTTCTTTCGCCTGATTCTTCTCCGTTAGAGGAACCTCATTACGAAACGGTGGTAGATTTAAAAACAAAATGACTATCGATAAATAAAATGTATATGTCTTATTTCGATGAATAAATGATTTGAATTTGAATAATGTGCAAATATAATACATTGATTTGATCATAATCTATAAGGCATATTCGTTGGTTGCTATAAAAAGCAATCATTGGGTTCAGAGTCTCAGTCAGATACTTACTTACAATTTATACACACAAAAGATGTAAAATTTCTCTGTTATATATTATATTCCGAATAGTTAAGGAAATTATACATGTAATATCATATCTCATGCCTATTCCTCGTAAATCCGACTGGCAACTTTTAATTCAACGTGTAGTCAGATTCCGAAATTATAATATATTTACATATAGAATGGTATATAGGGATGCGCATTATATCTTATATACCTGATATAAAATGTTCACGTGGACACACTTCAGTATCATTAGGTGTAAGCAAAAGACACTGCACTAGAAGAACTAGCTTATACAGGCCAAGCTTCGCCGTTTTTTTTTTTTGTTCCCGCAGGAACTTCGGAATCAAAAGTATATAAAAACACTCTACTGTTCAATAGCTAGGATGTGAGTTATTATCAAGATCGGCTAGGTTTTGAGTTTTGTGGACACAATCATACGAAAGCTAATTTTTATTTGTAAATAACGACAGAATTGTGCATCTAAGATATCCGATAACTACAAAATAATTAGGGCAGAACGTTCCGACCCGAATCTTCAAACTCACACTTTCATTTTCTCATCACTCTATATCTGTATCTTCACCATCATAATCATTTCAGTCTGTTTGAGTCCACTGCTGAACATAGGCCTCCCCCATAGACCGCCACGAAGTACGATCCTGAGCCACCTGCATCCATCGACTTCCCGCACATTTGCACAGGTCGTCACTCCATCTAGTGGGGTGTCGCTGTATCTTACTTATACATAAATATTATAATAACTTAAATGTGGTTTTTGGTCCGTCCATCATTCACGCAGCTATACTTTATACCCCGAGAGTGCATGATACTCGTATGTAGTAGGTTTTAAGGAGCCCAGCTACTTTATGGCATGGACCCACTAATCGTTCAAGAAATCGAAGTCCAGATGAAATTAACCGAAGGCACCAGCTTATGTCATCATCGTCCTTCTGCCCTCAACCCACATAGGCCGGGTCGGCAAACCATGCGAATCACGTTGGTTTTTACAACCGGTCCTGACGTGAACCATCCTTGGACATACTCAGATCCGGAACAATTTGGCGTCGGTCACACAAATACTTGTCCCGTGTGGGAATCGAACCCACGACCCGAAGCGAATAGCTTAGCAACAGCGCCAACGAGTCCATCAGCTTACGTAATATATTATATATAAACCGCCGCACGCCACTAAGGCGTGAGAAATTCTCATGATAAAACTAATTACCCGCACATACGCACATTTTGCCCCCTAACTTACGAAACAACAATCCCACCGATAAGATACATACGGCGCCGTTTTTTTTTCCACTCCATATCTATAATTTGATAAAGCAAAGAAACGTGTAATGGGAGTCCTATCAATGATAAAGTACGAATCATTGTAATGATAATTTTGTGCATGTAGAGATTACTGACGGTTATGGACTGGTCTAAGGCGATTGTTGTTTTAACACTCTCACCAAATTGATGTCAAATTGAAGCGACAGAATTTAGACAACTTCACAGGGGCAAGTTTGTTTTATAAGCAGCAGTTTCGTGTTGACTTTAGTGTGTCATAACTAATATACGATATATATCAGATATATTCAGTAGCCGTAATAACTGACTTGGTGAATAAAATGAAGTAAACTCGTTTTTATTTACTGACCTTTACGTATGTAAAGATAAAAACACCTAAGCCAGAGATGCGACTTTCTCAGTATATTAATGCGTATTTCTTATATACATGCGTTTACTATCATATAAATTACACTAAAAACTATTTTCCACCTTTTATATCGTTTTATTTATATTTATTTATTTTTAACTCCAGCCTTAAACCGCGATAAAATCCATATAGCGGTTGTATCAAAAATCAAAGTCTATCGAGTAACCAGCATACGTACCTTCGCAAGGTTCCATTATGCAGATACAAGGGCCAAGTGACTTGGTAACAATTAATGATAAAGAGACACCGTCTCTGTCAAAACTTTCCTAGAATCTCGATTGAAGAAGACGAAAAACGAAACGCAATTGCACGGCACGATGCTTTCGCAGAAATGGAATCGAAACGGGTCAGAATCAAATTGCAAAACACAAAAAAAAATAAGCATGTACGTTTTAAATAAACCACGAGGCATAGGTGGTTTATTTAAAACCTACATGTTTGCATGTATCTTGACTATTTTGTAAGGAAAACTCTCTCGTTTGAATCAATATCGATGTCGATAAATATTTTTTTAATAACGAACCGGTTACTGCTTTGTTTTCTATGGAAAAAATATTGAATCCCCAAACAAAGCAGTTTTAGGAAGTCACTGTGGTGGACTAACTAATCCTACAATTTGTGGCCTAGATGTTTTGTCAGTTTTATTACTTTAGCACGCTTGTTCCCAAATTGTAATGGAGGTAGAAAGGAGACGATATCTTCACATACAGCATCCTTTATTCCAGCCCCATCTTAAATATGACATATAAATTTCTGTAAACGGTTTCAAACACTCACAGACGCACCAGAACTCGGTAAGTGGAGTCATAAAGATAAAACCGCAGTAACAAGTCACGGAAATATAATTAGTTGCCGCTATATTTATGAGTGGCTAGAGGTTTATGGGCGCGGAAAAATAGAGTCGTTATGCATAAACCCCAATGCACAGCCACGTGGCTTAGCAATAAAATGTCTCTAATAATAGCCACTCAAGTAATATACAATATTACACAATGGGTGCAATGTATTATACATAATTATAAACCTTCCTCTTGAATCACTCTGTTAAAAAATCCGCATCAAGATCGGTTGCGTAGCTTTAAAGATCTAAGCATACATAGGGACAGACAGACAGCGGGACGACTTTGTTTTATACTATGTAGTGATAATCAACTGGCTCTCAAAAGGAAGTCATATTAAATGCGATTGGTAGAGATTTTAATAGACAGTGACTAAACATCTTAATGTGGTAGGGTCATTATCCTACCACATTAAAATGTTTAGTCACTGTATATTAACTATAAGCATACCCTGCCCCATTGGGTAGGGTATGCTTCTGCTGTTTTACGACCTCACAGAAGACCGACGTGAAGTGGAAGTATTAAGCATTCGCGTTTCGTCTGGTGAATGAGGTAGCCGGCGCCCACTTTATAAAGATTTGGCAACGCATCTGCAAACCATCAGGTGTTGTGGATTACCTGATGTCAATTGTTACCGGCGCCCTCGGGCTGGGCTTAACATTAGATGAACCGCGCCCTCGCTTGGTAATTTTTCACATAAAACCAGTATTTTTAATGAAAGAACTTCAGTTAGCAGGTGACACAAGTAACAATGCCACTAATAAAAACGACATTTAAATTTTAATGTACGTTATTGTTCTTCAATTTATTTTCCTATTGTTATCTCGTGAAATCCAAACATATTTCATATTTGTATTGAACATTAAAGTTATATTTTAATATATCTCAAACAAGGACTTTAATATGCTATTCGTATAATTATGTATGTATTTTTATCATACACAAACTTCGGCAATCAGTTATTA